TCTCTTGTAACACCTCGAATCTTCGGCACTTATAATATGACCTTATTGTGTTGTAAGTGCCGTAAAACGCTTACTAAAAAGAAACCAACATTTCTCACAGAGGAGTGCCCGCGTGGCTGGACCAATGAGGAGACAGGGCTGCCGCCGTGCGCCCAGTGTGAGGTCAACTCTTACTGGGTCAACGCCTCCAGCTGTCTGCCATGTCCGGCCGGGACCAAGACCAGAGCCGCGGGGGCAGAGTCCATCAGCGAATGTCAAGGTCAGGAGGGGTGGTGGTGGGTGGCCTGTGGGTGGACTGTGGGGCTGTTACCTCTGTCCCTTTTCCCTGTTACTATTATCCTGTTTCCTGTTACATCTGTTCCTTTCCCCTGTTACTATTGTCTCGTTTCCTCTGTTTGTTAAGTGATACTGATGTCGGTAAATTGTCGGTAAATGATGCTGATCTTGGTAAATGATAATTATGTAGGTAAATGATGCTGATCTCGGTAAATGATAATTATGTAGGTAAATGATAATGATGTAGGTAAATTGTCGGTAAATGATGCCGATCTCGGTAAATGATAATTATGTAGGTAAATGATGATGATATAGGTAAATTGTCGGTAAATGATGCTGATCTCGGTAAATGATAATTATGTAGGTAAATGATAATGATGTAGGTAAATTGTCGGTAAATGATGCTGATCTCGGTAAATGATAATTATGTAGGTAAATGATGATGGTGTAGGTAAATGATAATTATGTAGGTAAATGATGATGATGTAGGTAAATGATAATTATGTAGGTAAAAGATGATGGTGTCATTAAATGATGCCGATGTCCATAAAGTGTCTCGTGTGACACACTAACAATCTCACGTGTCATGTCTCTCCGTGTGTCAGGTGAGTGTCTCATGTGACACACTAACAATCCCATGTGTCATGTCTCTGTGCGTCAGGTGAGTGTCTCGTGTGACACACTAACAATCCCACGTGTCATGTCTCCGTGTGTCAGGTGAGTGTCTCGTGTGACACACTAACAATCCTATGTGTCATGTCTCTGTGCGTCAGGTGAGTGTCTCGTGTGACACACTAACAATCCCACGTGTCATGTCTCCGTGTGTCAGGTGAGTGTCTCGTGTGACACACTAACAATCCTATGTGTCATGTCTCTGTGCGTCAGGTGAGTGTCTCGTGTGACACACTAACAATCTCACGTGTCATGTCTCCGTGTGTCAGGTCAGTGTCCGCCCGGCTGGTTCAGTGAGTACGACGGACACCACGACTGTCTCCCGTGTCCCCGACACACCTACTCCGACAGACCCGGCGCCACCGTCTGCGACACCTGCCACAACAACTTCTTCACCGTGGCCTCTGGGAGTAACAGCTCAGACGACTGTATACCGCTCACCAGTGAGTCTCACATATATATACATACTTATATATATACACACACATACACCTACACTCACACACACACATAGGCACACACACCGTCTGCGACACCTGCCACAACAACTTCTTCACCTTTTCCTCTGGGAGTAACAGCTCAGACGACTGTATATCCCTCACCAGTGAGTCTCACATATATATACATACTTATATATACACACACATACACCTACACTCACACACACACATAGGCACACACACCGTCTGCGACACCTGCCACAACAACTTCTTCACCGTGGCCTCTGGGAGTAACAGCTCAGACGACTGTATATCCCTCACCAGTGAGTCTCACACACACACACACACGCACGCACATACACGCATAGACACACATGCGCATAGACACACACACGCACTCACACACACACACATACATACACACACCGTCTGCGACACTGTATTGCGCTCACCAGTGAGTCTCACACATACACATACATACACATACATGCACACATATACACACACATACACCCCCACATACACACATACACCCCCACATACACCTACACATACACCCCCACATACACACACATATACACACATATATACACACATATAAACATACACATGCATACATACATACATACATACATACATACATACATACATACATACATACATACATAGCATGCATGCATGCATAGACAGACAGGCAGACAGACAGGCAGACAGACAGGCAGACAGACTGGCAGACAGACAGAAAGACAAACAAACAGACAGACAGACAGACAGATGGTCAGACAGACAGAATTACAGACAGACAGACAGACAGACAGACAGACAGACAGACAGACAGACAGACAGACAGACATACAGGCAGACAGATACACCCTCATTCTCTCTCCCTCAGATTCCACCAGGTGCGCCGACAGATGTCAGAACGGCCGCTGTGAACAGAAACAAGCTCATCATCTCTCCTGTGTCTGTGACCCAGGTAACTAGAATAATAATGATCATAACAATAATAACAATAATAACACTACTAATAATATAATAATAATATAACAATAATGATAATAATAATAGAAAAAAAATAATGATAATAATGACAATAATAATAATAACAATAATTACACTACTAATAATATAATAATAATATAACAATAATGATAATAATAATAGAAAAAAATAATGATAATAATGATAATAATAATAGTAATAATAATGATAATAATATTAATAATAGAAATAATAATAATAATATTGATATTAATAATAATAATAATAATTTAGAAAATAATAATAATAGTAATAATGATAATACAAATAATGAAGATTATAGTAATAATAATAATAATAATAATAATAATAATAATAATAACAATAATAATAGTAATAATTAATAATAATAGTAATAATAATAATAATAATTAATAATAATAATAATAATGATAAATAATAAATTGCATTTATATGTCAAACATCTATCGTCCTTATCTCTCCTCCTTCTTTCCTATCAAACATCTATCGTCCTTATCTCTCCTCCTTCTTTCCTATCAAACATCTATCGTCCTTATCTCTCCTCCTTTCCTATCAAACATCTATCGTCCTTATCTCTCCTCCTTCTTTCCTATCAAACATCTATCGTCCTTATCTCTCCTCCTTCTTTCCTATCAAACATCTATCGTCCTTATCTCTCCTCCTTTCCTATCAAACATCTATCGTCCTTATCTCTCCTCCTTCTTTCCT